CAATGATCATTTTAGCAGTCAACCCCAAAAGAATTGGTCTTAGCAGGGGTTGTCTGAGATCTGCAAATTATTTCAAAGGTTCCTCTGGGGAAAAAAGTCGAGTAGGCTGCCCTAGATTTTAAGGTGAGTTAACATAATTGTGTTCCTTTTCATTGCAACCTATCAGATTTTTTGCTTCAATATCCTCACATAGTATTTGAGAACTGTCAATAGAATGGCTGCAAGTCCCATGTGCCACCATAGCCAAGGAGTTTTCAGTTCTCAATGGATGTCACCACAACCAAAGGCTGTGGCTGGAGGAATAGTTGTCAGGAGCCTCAGTTGTTCAGTTCCAATGAAAAAAAATAATAATAATAATAAATGTACCTTCAGAGTCCTTGACAAATATATCCTGTTATGAAATTATTTCTTTGGTTCTAGGTTCAAACTGACCTGCTGCCTTCTTTTGAACTGGAAGAAGAAATGTGCTCCAACTGTCAGTACAGCAGCTGCCTGTGTGCAGAGGAGAGCAAAACCTTCTACTGGAATGTGACAGCCAGCAAGCTGGGTGAGATACTCTGGCTCATGTACCATTTACTGGTTCCATAGTGCCACATGTACCATACTTTATTAACATTGTCTCTTCACCCAAACACTGTTTACAGGTTGGTTTCAAAGCACATTGATTTTATGGTTAGAGGACAGGTGCAGGTTAAGCTAACAGGCAAGGAAGCTGCCATCTTAGCTTTGGTTTGATCGGCAGTTGCCAATTGCCATGGTGCTGCACTTTTGAACACTTATGACCTCAGCCATTTGATAGTTTGACATCTTGATTGAGAGCAGAAGCTATCATTCTTGGCATGCTTTGAATATATAACTGTTTTGGAAAATCGGTGGGTTTAGTTCTGCTTCAAGATTTAAATTTTTTTAAAAAACCCTGCAGTGTGATAGTCCATTTGAATTAGTTTCTTGAAGGTTCATCAAGACTGTAAAACCAGTCCTCACAGCCTCTTCTGTCCTATGCTCCGGCAGTTGCAGGTCCTCTGAAGTCACTAAGACCAATGCGGGGCCTATAATGTTTCAATGTACATGAGGACGCAATGGGACAGTCCTCTGCTGGAGTGTAACAGAGTAGAAGAGAGCGCAGGCTGTCAGGCAAGCGGAGGATCAGGTAACAAAGCCCTGTTCTCTTCAGAGATGGACTTTAATGCAGACTGTTTCCTTAAAGTGGTTGTAAACCTTCATACATACCCAGTGAAGTGACTGGCCTCAGGTGTTACACAGAGATGTAACAAATCCTCCCACATAATTTGTACGTGCCCATCTACAGTCTTCTCTTCTCTACATCCATTCAAAGTGCTGAATTTTTAAAGTTCGTCTGAGAGTTCAGAAAAAAGGGGGCAGTGAGCTAAAATTACACTCTCCAGAGCTCAGTGAGGAGAGCTGTGAGAGCTGATTGGAGGGAAGAGTCACATTCCCCCCTACACAACTCACAGCAACAGAGCGGAGGCTGTCAATTTGCTGCAGGTCCCTCCCTTGTCACCATTTTTCTCTTGGTGTCAGGAAAATTTGTCAGAAGTGACTCATGCTGATAGCAGAGGAACAAAGCTGCAGGCAGAAATGATACTTAGTGCTCTTAATGAGAAAAGTACACACAATAGAGGGATATGCTTTCTTCATATTTCATGTCTGAGGTTTACAAGTACTTTAATAAAAGCCAACCCCAGGAATCCAGAGGTGCAAGGACACAGTGCTATTCACAAAACCAGTTGTACTGCCAACAAATGTAATAGATGGTTAGTATTAGATCAATATTTTACCATTCTATTTTGTATCCTGATCTAGGGGAAGTGAACGTTACAGTGAGGACAGAGGCAATAAACACACCAGACATGTGTAACAATGAGATTCCTGTTGTTCCAAAGCAAGGGAATACTGACACCATCATCAAGCCACTTGTTGTTAAGGTGAGTTGATTGGCCAATTGCAAATTGTCGTTTGTGTTTTTCCTTGCACTAGACGATCTGCACAGTTCAGACTGGTATAATAAAGGATTATAATAAAGAATGCCAGGATTGTGTAACACACAAATTGTGGTGCATTGCAGTGCTTCTTAATTTGAATGGTACCCCATTGCACATCCAAATTGCACCACAATGGACCTATTTTTAGGTACATGACAATGCACAAACGTGAAATGTAAACATTGTGGTGCACTGGAAAAAGGGTACAGATGCCTTAAAATTTCCATTGAGGTGCATTGACAACCCACTTACAATGAACAGGCTGCCTTACTGTAATGCAAGGTTTAAATGTTTTTCTTGTATCCTATTTATATAGTAGTTTTTCAACTATTTATATAAAATCTTTATTTTACCAAACAAACATTTAATACAGCGTACATCCAGGATACTGGTGTCACAGAACCTAATGGGTTTTCTAAAGGGGGATTTTGTTAGTAGTCTTTTGTTTGTTGGTTTTGTTTTTTTAAGACTTTCTCTGTAGTCTTTTAAGTTTAATGTCTGTATGGAAATCTAAAGACTGGAGAGAGGGGGAGCAGTCATTCAATTGTGTGTCAAATTTGAACTTGAGCTATTGAGCGCTGTCAACAACAATGTGTTTTGTTTTTTTTTAGAAAAGCAGCTGAGATAGTCTGGCAATCACATAAATAGGAGCTTAGAGCTCCAGCTACAGGCCATGCAGTAAAAAAATATTGTTTTAATCCTAAACACAATACAGGAATAAAATATACACAGAAACATAATAGGACTTTTTTATTAATGTGAGCCCAGAATAATGCACAATGAATGTATAAACACCAAGAATGTTATTTGTATTTTCATAAATCTAGTCCATCAACTGTATTATATTTTCAGCCTGGTGGTGTCTTGGTGGAAAAATCTCACAATTTCATGATTTGCATTCCAGTGGGGCAAGGTAAAGAATGATCTTAGTATCTGGATTTATAAATCTGTATGATACTGCCTTGACTTCTTTAAGTTTCATCTCCTCCTACCCTAGTCCAGGCAACACCAGAGGAATTCTCCCTAAAGGTTCCAGAAGATACTCTGAAGGATTCTGAGAGAGCATATGTGACCCTATTTGGTAAAAAATTCTACTAAATGATTACATAATTGCATACGATGCATATCCTGTAAACTAGAAATGCGCATCCAGAAATCGCTCAAAACCAAAGCAGTATCAATGAACCAGTCTGACAGCTGAATTACCAAGTCTTATTCTGACTGATTTTCCCCGTGGTTGTCAATCTTTACAATGTAATAAAAATACACTATAATAATAATACACCTCTGACGCATCTGATTGTGTCTTGGTGTGCACCTACATGCAAACAGCGATGGCTGCTGTCAATCTTTCATTACTTTAGACAGGTTGACTGGCTCCTGCCATCTGCATGCACCTGTCATTCTAGCTGCAAGAACCCACTGATTTTTTTTCCACCAGAATCCAGTATATGCAGGTAAATGCCCACGTGAAAGAGTCTTTAATGTTATAACATACAAGTACATTTTAGACAACTCTGCTCTTCCAACCTTGTGACAACAGTTTGGGGAAGGTTGTTTTCTGTTCTAGAATGAGTGTGCCCCTGTGCACAAAATCAGCTCCATCAATATATGGTTTGAGCATTTTGGTGTGAAGGAACTGAAGTGGCCTGCACAAAATCTTTACCTCTCAACCCTATTTTACACCTTCAGGGTCAATTGGAATGCCGATTGTGAGACAGACCTTCCTATTCCTACATCAGTACCTGGTTTCATAAAATGCAAACCCCATGATTAGAGACTTTTGAGAAGAGTGGAGGCTCGTAAAGCCACACAGTATGTTGGGGATTGGAGGGAAATCCATATTAATGTTCATGCTTCAGGGATATGGATATCAAGGATTTCTGGTCACAAATGTCCCGTTGAAAGAAATGTATGTCACATTCAGAAGAATAATAGAATATGAAAAAGCACATCTGGCAAACACAAGGGGTGAATCAGGCCCACCAGGCCATTTCATGTCTCCATCACTATAGCACCTCCCTCATCTCCACCCTTACCTTTTCGTAGCAGTCAGCAGCAGAGAGGAGGACAGACCTCCTCCACCAGATCCTACTCTTCTTCGTGAAGCTGTGGAGATGCTTGTCTCTGCCCCCCTTTCCTGACCCAGCAGTCAGCAGCAGAGAGGAGGACAGAGATCCTCCAACAAATCCTGTGCCTCTCTGTGCAGCCGCAGCACCCCCTTGTCACCACCTCCCCTTGTCTCAGCATTCAGCAGACTCAAGCAGCTGACTTCAGCTCTCCCCTGGTCCTCCTGCAGACCTTGCAATTTCTGATTCCCAGCTTCGTCCTGGCAGTAGCACAAAGTAAAAGGGGTGCACTGTGATGTAAGAGAGGGTGGGGGACTCTTGACTTCTATTGGCGGGAGGCTCTTGACATCTGATGTAAGGAAGAGTGGGGAGATCTGAACATCAAGTCCTACTGATACAACTGGCCATTTGAGGGCAACCATAATGCTAATGCAGCCTATGATTAAATTGAATTTTCCACCCCTGTCATAAAGGGTCAATCTAAGCAAACTGATTTGAATGAATGCTTGTACTTTGAATTATGGACAGGTAGATATGACAAAATATGATACTGCTCTATACCAGCCTTTATCAACCTTTTTAAAATGGGAGAATCCTTGAAATGCTCAGGGAAACCCTACTAATAATTTCTATATCTATAGTTCACAGTATATTAGTATGATGGTTATCAGGAAGAACACACTTTACATTTGTAGTCATTTGGAGGAATTCCAACTTTCAGAGAGCTAAAAATATCATTGTTGTCAGTGGTTACTCATCTAAGAGGAAGAAGTAGCTCATGCTTAAGGAACTCCTAGAAACCACTGGAGGAATCCTACGTTTCCAAAGAACCCTGGTTGATGAAGGCTGTTATACAGTAGACATACATGATATTTGTTAGCAATTCTTCAAACCCATATTGGTGCACATTCTATTTCTTGTAGGCGATATGATGGGTACAGCCATGCAGAATCTGGACCAGCTGTTGACTATGCCATATGGGTGTGGGGAGCAGAACATGGTACACTTTGCCCCCAATATTTTTGTTATGCAGTATCTGGAAAAGACTAATCAGCTGACTGATGAGATCAAGAGCAAAGCCACTGAGTTCATGGAGAAAGGTGAGAGACATTTTGTTATCATTTAGACGCAAAAGTGTGGAATGTACCACTGAAGTTGAAACATTTTTGATTTCTGTGCAGAATGTGACTGTGGAACAATGGAAATTACATATAGCATTTTCTCAGTTGTTAAATTACACTGGTCTACAGCCAGTAGCAAGTGACTGGTAACCTGTCTGTAAACTAAACCTGCTGATCCTAGAAATACTTACAGATGGATTTCCCAATCCTGACAATTCAGGTTCTCAGTTTATGACACACGTTAATTGCTTCCTAAATCCATTGTTGGTTCTTCTCCTACTGTGGTAGACAAAGAGTTGGAGCTTAGCACCCAATTAAATTATGGCAATTTAAAACCTGACATAAAAAATTTCTTTCTGAGAGCATTGGCAGTTTTAGCAGAAATACTTGGAACTGCTCATTTTTAGTATTACAAGCCAGTAATTATTTATTGTAATGGGTCTCACATCTTATGCTGGTGGTCATTGGAGGTAATACGGGGCAGAGCTGGCTGGCAGCAGTGAGGGACAGTTTCAAGGCTACATGAAATAACATAAATTGGAGCTTCACTGAATTATCCATTTCAAATTCCTTTAATTAACAAAAATATTAAGGTGTAATAGTTGTAGCACTTTAAGGGTCCATGCACACTGGGCATAAAAATGCCCGTTAGAGGCATTTGGCGTTTTTTTTCCCTACCTCTAAATGCCCCTCAATGTCAGTCTGTGTCCTTGCACACATACATGTTTTGAGAAGTTTAGAGGCAGAAAAAAACCCCTTTCCTTGTGCGTTCAGAAGAGGGGCATCTTGGTATTAAAAAAAAAATAAGTGTAATCATGCCTAAGTGCTAGGCACATTTAGCATGAATTAAATTAATATTAATTAATAGTCTGGCCAATGAAATTAAGAAATGCCTAAGCGCTTGACACGCATAAACGCGCCTAAACGCATTTACAAAAACACGGCTTAAGTGTATTTTTTTCATCTGCTTTTCTCCTGCCAAGAGAAAAACGTTAGAAGAGCCATAGTGTGCATGGACTTTAGCCTAGTTTTAGTAGAATTTCTTTTTTATGTATCTGTAAATTTATTGTTCATAGTTGTTATCATTAGAGTGGTCACTTGTGTTTTGGGAACAGGGTATCAGAGGCAGCTCAAGTACAAACATGCTGATGGATCATACAGTGCATTTGGAAACAGTGAAGATGGAAACACATGGTGAGTTTAGTTGATGACATCATGAGACAGTCATATTGGAAGGAAAACATCTAATTCATTAAACAGTGCATTTCTTCCACCTGTAATAATTGTGTTGTGAATCCTTTTAGTTTAAAGCCAAAAAATTCAAGAAAAATTAAATGTATGAGAGGACAATGCATAAAAAAACGTCTCTCTCTCTCTCTCTCTCTTTCTCTCTCTCTTTCTCTATCTGTGTGTATATATATATATATATATATATATATATATATACTCTAATCCTCTACAACCCCATGTACCTCTAAATATGCATTGCATTTAAAATGTAAATATACTTTGCTTTGCATTATTTTTTACTTGATTTCATAAGCAATACAATAATTCTGTTTATTACATCAATGAATCCATTCACATAGCAGGTCTGGACAAAATTTTGAGGGCTTTCATAAGAAAATAGTTGTCTCGGTGATGCATCATTGAATGCTATGAGCAAAAATCTAACTACATATGCCTAGCCTTAAGCAGCTCATAGATGACTCGATTTTCTTTCCTTCTACCACAGGTGAAATGAAAGAAAATCAGTGGATTTTCACATCAAACCAGTCAGGGGTTTATTTACTAAAGCTGGAGAGTGCAAAATCGGGTTCACTTCTGCATAAAAACCAATCATCCTCCAGGTTTTATTGCCAAATCTTAACTGAACAAGTTGAGGTTAGAAGCTGATTGACTATCATGCACAGCTACACCAGATTCTAGGTGAAACAGCTTTAGTAAATCTCCCCCTTGGTGTTGATGGAGGAATGCCTCCTGCAGTGTTATTGTGATCTGCTGGCAAAGGTGCAGGAAGCCTTCTCGGCTGTTAGAACACAATGATTACTGCGAGCAGCTATAGCCATCAGCAGTAATCAAATGTAAAAATAAAATCTGACAGGCTGGTTGTACGCAAGTCAATTGATGGATCGACTTGGGTACAATCAGCCTGCTTATACATGGCTCGAATCTTGGCCAGTCCCTCCTGAACTGATCAAATTTCAATCCAAGTATGGCCAGTTTAAGGGGGCAGAATCCACTTAATCAGCTGGGATTTATCTGCTGATGACAGGTCTATGTCCGTTTCGCTTATGCAGAATGGACACAGCCTGCTCTATGGGTTGTCAGGTGTAAATGGACCGGCTGTCCATTTACACCCAACTGCCCTCTGATCTGATCCACATAGATGGAGGGTAATGAATCCCCTTCCATTTTTTTTTAGTGGAAAAGATCATATTGGAGGTAAGCAGGTATAAACGGACACAATTCAGATTACATCCACAGAGGTGAATGGAGAGTCCAATCCGGTCCGCCTGAAAAACAGACAGGCGGGCACAATCGCACCATTTGTGTGAAAGGTGCCTAACAATGGCAACTGAATAGGAGGTGGCGAATAGCAACCGAAGCACTATATATACAGTGCTCAGCATTAATTAATACACCCCTTTTAAAAAGTAAGATTTTGTCTCATTATCTCAATGAACACAAGAACAATTTCCAATATTTTGACAAAACTGAGTTTTATAGAACAATTGTTTAGCTCATTACATGAAAATAAGGTTAATAATTAGAGATGAGCGAATCGAACATGACGAAGTGGAATTCGTTCCGAAGATTTGGAAAAATTCGATTCGCGACGAATCCGAAGATTAGCAAACTTCGGATGCACGAATCGAATTTTCCCAAAAATGGCGGCGACATGTGTGGCGACAGGAGAAAATGGACAGAGAAGATGGGGCGGGGATCTCTGGGAAGGCGCGCAGACAAGGCGTGCTGACCCATAATGCATTCATGAGTCATGAATCATGACATGTGATCGCATTAGCAATCAGCAGCCAGCCAGCACTGTGTAATGGTGGAGCTATAAATAAATCGCGGCCATCTTAGAATTCTCCATTAGCCTCCGGTCATTCAAGAGAGACAGACCTGTGTGTATTAAGGGACAGAGTTAGGGCCACAGAGACTTTAGGGCCACAGAATCGTTACTCAGGGACACAGAATCGTTACTCAGGGACACAGAATCATTACTCAGGGACACAGAATCGTTACTCAGGGACACAGAATCGTTACTCAGGGACACAGAATCGTTACTCAGGGACACAAAATTGTTACTCAGGGACACAGAATCGTTACTCAGGGACACAGAATCGTTACTCAGGGACACAGAATCGTTACTCAGGGACACAAAATCGTTACTCAGGGACACAGAATTGTTACTCAGGGACACAGAATCGTTACTCAGGGACACAAAATTGTTACTCAGGGACACAGAATCGTTACTCAGGGACACAGAATCGTTACTCAGGGACACAGAAATCGTTACTTAGGGCCACAGCTATCAAAGAATCGAAAATTTAAAGTGACATACACCCTTTTTTTTTTGGGTGGCTGTCGTGCACAGTTGGTGCTGCAGTTTGCCGATTGTGCAAAATAAACTGACTTTCTGCTTCACAACCACTATTGTACGTTCAAAGAGTTAAATCCATTTACACGCCGGCTGGCGGTAATATTTTTTGGGTGATTAGTGCATTCCAGTGACTCAAACGTACAGTTTCCAGCCAACGGCAAGCTGCAATTGACCGATTGTGTACAATAAACTGACTTTCTGCTTCACAACCACTATTGTACGTTCAAAGAGTTAGATCCATTTACACGCCGGGTGGCGGTAATATTTTTTGGGTGATTAGTGCATTCCAGTGACATAAACGTACAGTTTCCAGCCAACGGCAAGCTGCAATTGACCGATTGTGCTAAATAAACTGACTTTCTGCTTCACAACCACTATTGTACGTTCAAAGAGTTAAATCCATATACACGCTGGGTGGCGGTAATATTTTTTGGGTGATTAGTGCATTCCAGTGACATAAACGTACAGTTTCCAGCCAACGGCAAGCTGCAATTGACCGATTGTGCTAAATAAACTGACTTTCTGCTTCACAACCACTATTGTACGTTCAAAGAGTTAAATTCGGTTTTATTTTTGGGGTGCTTATTGAATTAAAGAGTATGTCAGACAACACGCAGAGGAGTGGCAGAGGAGGCAATGTTTCAGGAGCGAGCAGACGTGCAGCAGAGGAAGGGGTCGAGGCAGCACTAGTCGCAGCCAGAGGCCAGTGCTCCCGGTGTCATCCAGCGGTCGTGTCTCCACCGACAACCCTGCCGTCATCGATTGGTTGACTCGGTCGTCTTCCTCTTCCAGGTCACCTTTGACACCTACAGCCAACGGTCGGTGGGTACGTCAGACACAACCGTTAGTTGGCATGGCCCGGGAGCAAGCCCACTGAAATCACGTGTCCTCGACCTGCCCCCTGTCCTTTGGGTGTTCCCTCACCAAGCGAAGTATCGCATGCTGTGGGCTCAGCCCCACTGTACAGTGAGGAAGAGCTAACAGAGGGCGGTCAGGAACGAGGGGAGACATCCGCCTCTTCAGCAGCCAGGCGAAGAAGTACTGGCGAGGAGAGTGGCTCGGTAGCCGGTGTAGAGACAGGTCTGTCTCCTGACCCACACGCAGCCGAGGGGGCTAGTAGTGACGCGGAGACCCTAATTGATGATCGCACTTGGCAGCCTCGTCGTCATCAGGCTATTGCTTCCGCATCATCAGGAGAAGAGGGTGCCAGCTTGCCAGCGAGCAAAACAGTCGGTGGGTTGCCCAGGAGGCAGCAGGGTCGCAGCAGTGTCAGTGGAGCCAAACGGCCACGGAGTAGAGCACCAGCTCCACTGCAGCCTACCACCACGGCCAGTAGTGGTGCCGGTGTGCACGGAGGAAGTAGCAGTCAGCCAGTGAGGAGTAGCGGGGGCAAAG